GTCCATGTCTTTGGAATCTTAAACAGATTATTGCAGCAGGTCCTTTTACCACAACTGACAACTTGTTCTTTGAACCTCTAACTGAGCTGCTAGCATATGCACGAAGAAAGCAGCCTCAGTTGCTTTTATTGGTAAGGCCCACCATTTTTCATATCAATAATCTTGTAAATTGTAATCTGCATTGATAAATGACTCGAGAAGTTGGATTTTTTATGTTTGGCAACTGGGACCATTTATTGATTCTGAACATCCAAAGATTAAGAAAGGAGCAGTAAACAGGACCTTTGATGAAATATTTCATCTTGAAATCCTTGGAAGGGTATCTATCTATCTACACTAGATAATTTTGCCTGTTTGAGAAGATTTTATCTTTCTTTTTTTTTAAATTTTTTTCCCCCCCAATGGTTTGCAGCTTCAAGATTATGTGGAATATATGGGTTCTGCTGCACGTGTGATTCTCGTGCCATCTATACGGGACGCAAATCATGACTTTGTCTTCCCTCAGGTAATTTTATTACTAAATTAATTTATATAGTATCTCTATTTTCCCAGTTAGTTAACAAAAAATTGAGATCATGATTAAGTGTTAATTTCTAGATTAATGTTGTTTGGCTTTGATTCTGCAGCCTGCTTTTGATATTCAGCAAACCGATCTCAAACATCAGGTATGCATGATTCTACTAGACTAGGGGAAGCCCACCTTTGAACTGGTTGCTAGATCCAGATCATTTTTCAGTTTGCAGTCTCACAAGTCACAATTTTAAAGAAATTACATTGTCTTACCAGATAACCAATCTTACAAATCCAGGGATTTTCAGTGCAAATGAGGTAATCACTAATTGCCTTTATTCTTAAATTATGATTGTCCGTACTTCTAGACATTAATTTCATGTTTGTGTGTGCTCCTCCGAATTCTTGAAAATGCATTGCTGAGATGAAATTTTTTTGCATTATATTAATCTCATGCACCACAAAAAAGCTTGAAACCGTACTTTTGGAGTAAAAACACACTAATGAGCAGAATGCCCTAAACTTGAGGTGAATACAATTTGGAAGAGCAACATGGAATTAGAAAGAATCTAGTTAAGGTTCTCCCAAGGGAATATGTTTAATCTTATTATTTTAAATTCTAAAACAATGGTTTGAAGCATTTTGAGTTAAAACACATTGTACAAGTCTCTAATTAGTTTTCAATCACATTTTGGGTTTTCAGATCAAGGTAGGTTGCTGCATTGTGGATATTCTCAAACAACTTAGCGGAGAGGAGATCTCACGAAATCCATCTGGGGGATCCAAGCAGCGCATGAATAGACTTGCAAATCATCTACTTAGCCAGCACAGGCATGTTTTTATTATTCTCTTAATGGAAATTTCTGTACTTGATATTAAAGAAGTTTAAACAATTGAAAAGATGGTAACTTTTTGAAAACAGCTTCTATCCTCTATTCCCACCAATGGAAGATACTTCCGTGGATTTTTCTCTCACTCCAAAGGCTCTTCAGATCCCTTGTAATCTAGATATCCTAATCCTATCCTCTGACTTGGCTCATTTCGTGAAGGTAAATGATAGTTCTAGTTATATCAAAGTAATGATGGATATACGAAACAGAATAGTTATACAGAATGATGTGTCAAAATGATATTCATTCATTTTAAATCAAAAGACTCATGAAAGTGACTTGTTATTTCAAAACTGCCATTGACACGCCATTCTAGTGGACTTTTTTGTACATAAATTCTGTTTGTAAATCAATTTTTTTTCTTATCTAGTTTAGAGCTGATTGGATTGTATGAATGAAATTTAACTCTTCATCTCCTATGCGGACAGGTGTTGTCAATTGGGGATGAAAATAACGGAGAAGAGCAAGCGAAGTGCATTTGTGTTAATCCGGGAAGACTGGCTAGGACCGAAGGAGCGGGTTTCTTCGTGGAGCTTAACTACGGGGGAAGCCCTGATTCAACCAGTGCTTCAGTTATAAGCATATGGACCTTAAACTACAGCGTGTAGTGATTCAACAAGTGCTTCAAAAAAAAAGTAAACCCTAAACTTATAGAGCTTGCAGTTGCAGATGATATCAGTTTGTTTGGAAACAAACTAGAGACCTATCATAGTGGACACCAAATTCTAATGGAGGAGCTTAGCACAATGAAGACTGTTTAGGGAGTGCTGTCATGTAGTACTAGTTTCACATCACAATTAAGGTGATGTTACTAACATGATGTTCTATTAATGCATTATTATTGTCTTTTCAAGGTGGCAATGATTTCGCTCTTTACCAACCAAAAAAAGAAGGGAAAAGGAAAAGAAAAGAAAAGTCGTTTTTGGTTGTGTTTTTGTTTTCTTTTATTTTTGCTTTTCATGTTTTAAGAAATACAAGCAATGAAAAGTTTGACAATCATTTTTATTTTGCACGAAAATAATTGTTATTTTTGAAAAGGCAAATGCTAATGAATGTCTTTGTGGCAAATTGTCTTGGAAATAGTTAAAAAATGTTTAAAAAATAATATTTTGAATTCAGCTAAATAAAAAAAGTGTTTTGATTTCAATAAGCCTCTTATTTCTTGTGTCTCATTAACACTTGTTTAGAATTCTTTTTTCAAAAAATAGGTGTTTACAGAAAAAAATAATAATAATAAATAAATAAATAAATTCCTTAAAAGTAATTTTCAGGAATAGTTTGCCTAACAAATTTTTTTGTTTTTGTTTTTGTTTTTTTCTAAACTAATTATAAATAAAAACATGAAATCATAATCAAATTTGGCAGTTGTAATCTAGGTCATTATTGAGGAAGGGGTGTTTTATTTTAATTTAATTGGTGGTTAAATTTGTGGTTAGTTTAGTTGCTCCACCATCCGCCTTCCAATCCAAAAATAGGGAATATGCTGAAGAATATGATTTGTATTACAAAGCTCTTATGAAAAAACATCTCTGTAAAAATTATCCTATCGTTTAAAAAATTTATATTAATTGTGTGCTTAATGAATAGTAAAAATTAAATGAATATATGACCTTAAAAATAAAAAATAATAATGAATAAATTATAAAAGATCATTGGATAGACATTAGACACATAAATATTCCTGATTTATTAGATAATTTCTACTACATAGTGGGTCTACCAATCGAATCCTCTCTGCATATTCCAAAGCTGTCATCCTTCATACACAACCACTAGCCTTTTGTCAATTTTATTTTTTTAATAAATTGAATGCTTTTAACACTGTTATCTTTCTTTTCTTTTCCTTATTTCTTTTTTTCACAATTAATTAGTGCCGTATCATTATTTATGATAAACATTAATTATTTTCAGTCATTTTATGAAAAAAAAAATTATAATGTGAGAAAACATCTATATTATCTTTCCAAAGAGGAAGAGATAGGAACTTAAAAATCTATTATGCCTTCGCTTGGCAACTTGGGTTGGGTTGGGTTGGGTTGGGGATTATTTTAGTCACTAAAAGATAAAATATGTTTTTTAATCTGATAAAACAAAACATCACATCCAATCCATAATCATTATATTATTTCTTTCATAAAAATTAAAAAAATCAAAAAGTCTATATCCAATGAGGTTTTTTAGCCCCAGACTAAAATAATCAAAAAGTTAAAAAGTCAAAAAATCAACCCACTTCCCAAACAAACCCTTTAAGTAATTATTTGATAGTCTTGGAGTACTATTACATACTATTCATCACTTAAAACTTGTTAAATTGTTTTCCAAAATTCAAACAAAAAGTATTGGGTTTCGCTACTTTAACCAATAACAATCAAGTAGAGGCCAGGTACAGGAAGCATGCACCCTCCAAGAACATAGTTGGGAGGCTAGTGGCGGACACGTTTTTTGTCGCTTAACTTTTGATGTATTACATGTAACTTCAAGCCAAGGGCTTAATGTGTAAACGAGTTAGTACTCTTTTGTTGCAACCAAGTGTTAACTTGGAAAGCTGTAAGCCCGTAGGGCATTTTGTTTTGTTGTTAACATGTAATACTTATGTAATGGAACTCTAATGAATATATGAATGTGGTTAGTTTATATATGAATGCATGTCTTATCTGATGGGTTTAATGTTGTTATTTTGAGGGCGTTACATGCTCCAAGTCCACCATATAATTTTGAGATTTTTACCAGCTAATCCCAATAATTGAATCTATTAAAAATTAGCAATACTTTGCCATGCTCTCATGTCCTTGAACATGGGAATTAGACAAATATGAAGCTTAAGCACATGCTCAAAAGCCAACAACTGTACCTGAGTTCTTGTAATATAGCATTTTGAGTACCTTTAATACTAATAGTGTGATCAAAACAAGTCAATCAGTATCGTACTGAGCATGTTAGATACCGCATTTCTATTTCTCGTATCAGAACAATTCATGTTCCTAGTACCGTAGGATTAGAGATATTCAGTTATAAGCACATATTAGGACTTGAAGTGTATCCAGAGAAATGGCGGAACCATCTTGCAATGTTAATGATTGGATGGTGCGAATCATCTGATTGGTTTGATCACACTTCACAGTATGTTCTTTGTAAGCAAATCACAGATGATGTTGCAATGATCCCAACAAAACTATGTCGGGAGTTGCAGTGCTCCATATATCCCATCTAGAAGATCTATCATTCAGTACTAGAAGTAGACATACCTTATGCAGTTTCGTCTCCATTGAAGCAGAGATAACATTTCCCCCAGTCACTGTGGTAGAGGTCCGAGAGGAATCATGGACCATTCTTTTCTTCAGTATCTTTTTCATGAGACGTATAGCAGATTTATTTGTTTCCTTGTCTGCTTTCTTTTCTCCGCTCTCGCATTTAGCGACAGAATTTTCCTCTGTCATTTTTGTCCTCTGAAACAGCTCCCCAAGTGATGTTCTATGTTCCTTCTTTGTTTCTGGCAACTCAATTGCTGACCCAAGTTGATAGCCCTGGAGTGGACACATTGTTGTTCTGTTCCCACTGGTCTCTGTGCCTTCCAATGTCTTGCCACTCAGTGTAATGGTGCTAACATGACTGTTTCTCCCCAGATGAGTCATTGCAACCATCTTCTTTACCTTCAACTCCTAGCACCTTCTCCAACTCATCATTAATCAGCTTCAAATCATGCTCTGTTACTTCTGTTTCTTTTTCAGTTATGTTCTCAACAGAGATGGAGAATGTTGGTGTTGATGATGGGTCAGCGATGACTGTGTCTGAACCAAGAGTACCAATGGTAAGGAAGCCATGGAAGAGCTGAGAAATCACAGCTGATGAATCTTCTTCAAAGTCATCTTCTTCTATGGCAAATGATTTTCGAAGATGGTTGTATCTCTGTGATTTGCCTAAGGTCTTAGTACCATAGTTTGCCTTCATGTCGTACTGCTGCTCATCCACTGATGGCTTCTCTGAAAAGACAATTAGAAGAATTCCATGACTGAAGAAATGTTAAATAATTGGGATAAAGGTGAAGATGACTACCATTGGCATAAATATGATTAGGCGTGCACATGGGTTGCTTTGGTTCTAGTTAGCCTTAAACTCAGAACCAAACCAATCATGATCAGTCCCAGGTTTTTGGGTGCAGGACAGAACCAATCATGCACTGGAACCAAAACCAAACCAAGCCAACCCGATTTAGCATCGGGTTTGTTTGGGTTGGAACCGTAGTTCCACTATACTAAAATAAGTGAATCAATCAGCAATAAATGATTAGAATAAACAAATCTTAAACATTTTAACGTAACACAGACATAGAGAAACAAAGTACTGTTTTAAAATTTAATACTGTTTACAAAATATTGTTCGGAGACGATTGCCAAGAATAGAGAAATCACCCGCAGCGGCTCAGCTTGTAGTAGTGTAGTGGATGAAGGTAGGAAATGAAAGATTAGATTAGACATTACTTTTCTCTTATTTATGAAATGATCAGGTGCAATCAAGTCCGCCTTAGTATTTGCAATAGACCAATTACATAAAGACATGTCAACAACATTAGAATTTTATGCAATATATATAGATTCGGATCTTGGATTGCTTCAGTTTAAGCGTGGCTTAAACAGCGCCCCAACCCATTCATGTCGGGTTGATGATTTTAAGACCTAGAGCCGAACCAATATATTGAAAAAGCCGAACCAACTCAACTCATAGAGGTCAGATTAGAAACATGACTTACCCCAATGGCAAAATCCTTGAGTCCTTCACTAGGCCTTAACCTGCGATGCATCCAACCAAGTAACTGCAATCAAGATATGCAAATATGAAGTCATAAAATACTGGAAACAGTTTTTGTCTTCCAAAGTTCAACAGAAATTGGGGTTACCTTCATTTTTGTGATCTTTCTTCAAAGAACTTGATTTAGATTACTCTGGCAGTGAGGAGGAAGTGAGAGAAGGTGCTCTTTTCAGAATGTGTGGTGTGACTATTTGATATGTCTTGGAAGCCTGTAAAAGTGCCTGAGATTGAGGCAGGTAGAGAGAAACATAGAGAAAATTACAAGATTTGGGTTGGCTATTTTGTGTAGACCAAATCATGTGGCCAATGGGAAGTGGGTTCAAGACCCCACAAGCTGAAGATTCTATCTGCCAGTGCACTTGCATTAATTCTTATAGTTATGCCATTGGCCTTCCCAATGTGAGATGTTTATGCACATGCATTTCTGCATGGCATTACAATGGAATTTCCATTCTCAGTATTCTAATCAGAACTACTCACATGAGCAGATGGAGTCTAGAGAATATTTTGTTGGACCCTAATCAATTCAAAGATAATATGACAAAGAAGAAGATCTTTTTTCCATTAGGGACCCAAAAAGTTCAATCCTAGTGCTTTATGGTAGGTCCACCTTTCAGAGGAAAGTTCTAACTAAAAGGAACCTCATCTCTTTTTCTTTTTTCTTTTATTTTTTTCCCTTTAATTTTTAGTGTTAAAAAGTACTGTTAGCTAACACAGTGTTGCATTTGTGTTAGTCTTTAGTTCTTCTCACAGATTTCTTTATCTTTGCAGCTAAACTATGACAGCAACAATAGTTTTGCACGTGTTTCTATTTGCAGCCAACTTATGTATTATTGGGTTTTTCACAGACCATGCTCTGATTGGATTTGGTGATATTTCAGGTTTGACCAACTCTGACATCTTAACTGAACACTTTAAGCTGTGTTGCATTCTGTGGTGCTTTCATTACAATATATTAGCTGCACGTAGCAACCCAATTCCAATAAGCAATAACCTCGTTTTCTGCTCATGATTGGTGAAAATATGTTATTAGGCATTACCATCAATATATGTTTAGTATTGCCACTTAACTGCCATATGTTTTCTTTTGGCTTGGATCGATGACCTTGCCACATGTGATCAGGTCATCTTCTTTCATTGCCTGTCAGTCATATTGTCATGAATGTAAGCTTTTTCATAAAAGAGGCCCCTTCAGGTACAGGTTTATTGCATTTTAAGGAATTGGGTGCACCCCACAAACAACTTTATTGTTGTGGGTGTGTCTCGAATTCGAACCGGATGATGCTTATAACCAGTTGATGACTTGCATGGATTATTAATGATAGGCCCGACCCAATATTTGTATTTGGATCTATTTTGACTTGGTTTGCTATTTTCAAATCCTTGTATATATTAGGTTATTTCAGGGTACTAGGATTTGTGATGATCTTGTGAGTTTTCAATAGAGGGCTGTGAGAGAGAGAGAGAGAGAGCTGGCTCATTGTAATCTCCACAGTCATACTTAAATTCTGCCATCATTCTACGCCCTTGGACGTAGGCTTATTACTGAACCCTGTAAATCCTCATGTGCTTGTGTATTTGGTTTGCTTTAGTTTTTCTCATCTTCGCCTTTGCCATAACATCTACATGTAAGAGTAGCTGAGGAAATATGCATTCACATTTTTTTGCTTAAATCTATTTTGTAAGCTCTCTAAAATCCAAACCCAGTACTTTTCAGTGTTCTGAATTTTTTGATATTGAGGCCCCATTTGGAGACCATCGTTTTTAGCCAAAAAACTACTACAAGTTGTTACATCAGTCTCTTTACTTTTCTGTACATATTTTCGTAAAAGCCAAAAATTCAACTAAAATAGCAAATTCCCAAACGGGGCCTGAATAGCTCCCAAATCCAAAATTTGACCTGTGGATGTGAATGAGCTGTTACTTGCCTCTTGACCTATAAAGACAACTCTTTCATGTTTTGACATCGTAAAAAAAGCGAGACCTAGTGCACGAGGCTCCCGCTAAAGCGGGGTCTGGGAAGGGCAAAATATACACAACTTTACTCCCATTTCTAGAGAGCTTGTTTCCATGATTTGAACCTGCACTACCTAACAGCAAGCCATGCCATTGTACCAAGCTGCCTTTTAAAAGTTACACTAGTATAGCCTCCATTAGATGAAGGTCTTGGAGAGAAAGATTGGGTACAGACCTAATCTTGTGGTATTATTTGCATAAAGTGGTTTTTCTTAGGTTCGGACTCACAACCTTTGGTTCCACTAAATAATGTCCGTTTACAATCTCGACTATCTTATTGCAAGTAGGGCCACGTTTGTTTGCTGGGATAAGGAGGTGGATTAGGGTGTGGGGCTCAGCTGCTTCCTCGTCTTCTCCTCTTGTTCCCCAATCCCTTGTTTGGTTGGCTTGGCCAAAGTAGGGTGAATTAGTAGTCATACTGGATTAATTTTCCTCCAAAATGAGGGATAACTAATCCCGCTTCAGCTTGGGATAAATGATCCCTACTACCTATGGAATATCTGCCAACCTCCATCTAATAGCCAAAAAAATATACTTGCCCAAAAAAAAAAAAGCCAAAAAAAATTTCAAACCTTACTTCCTCCTTTATCCTATCCTAATCAGTATAGTACAGTAATCCCATGATATATATTAATCCCATGGTGTATTCATTTGCCATCATCCCCTCTAATCCCATGCCATGAAACGAACATGGCCTAAAATTAACAAACATAATTGATGATGCCATGACAAGGACAATAATTAGTGCCAATAATTGATTGGTCATTGGATATGGTTAATTTTATCTCCACCAGTAGGAAATTTTATTTTTTTGGTTGATTAGGTAACCGTAAACATCATCTTTTTTAAAATTGTTTCTATTGATTAATGTCCCTTTAACAATCTATTTTATGGAATAAAGACACAAATTTCTTTCATTGATGCTATAATTGGTATCATGTTCACTATCTCTACACCACTAGGAAATCTCATGTTCCTTGTTCATTAAAAATAATCCCATAATAACAATAGGTAGATCTAAACAAGTTGACACATCCTTTGATACTCCATACATACTAACGATAATAACAGGTATTGTTTCTCTTAGGAGAACATATTAAATCAGGCTTTGGAAAAAGCCTAGATTAAGTGTTCGTACTAATGTCATTATGAATATTTATCTAGTAGGATTGAAGGCGAACTAGTGGTTGGTGGACTTAGGAGAGAAGACAAAAGAAAATAGTTAAAAGAATATTTGAGGAAAGCATGCATAGGTGTCTTTGAGGAAGCATAGCATATTAATTTATGAATCAAAAGGTTCGCATAAATGGGTTAGATTGGAATGGGTGTTGATTAAGCCTTTCCAAAGCTAATGGACCAAGTTACTGTTAACTGAGTTGGAAAAAATCTTGATAGTTATCCTACTAGGCAATTTGTATGTAGTTCCAAATGTTACACGGTCTTGAATAGAACTCAACCTCCAAAGCTAGCTTTAGAGGTGAGGGTGCCCTCACGCTTATATGCTTAACATTATTTTAGTACTCGGGCGATGTGGGACTTTGCTTCACACCTAAAAGCCTTGATGGTGATCCTACCAGTTAATTTCTTTTCATATATCGGCAAAGGCAATGCATTATAGTTAAATTGATCAGGAGGTTACCCTAATAAAAATAAATAAGCTATATATTTAATTAATCATATTTCAAGCAAACAAATGGTCGTCTGATGCGGAAGCATTGGCTAGTTTATAGACTCAGCTCACTATTAATAGAGCGGCATGCATTTTATTTCAATGATATATAAATGTTGTTTCAGAATTTGAACTGATTTAAATAGGCATTGTATCTCCTTGATGTGCATCTGCATTGCTACCTGTAAGAAGATTTGTATCCCATTTTACAACTCTAGGTGATTCATTGTAGGAATACGGTGAAGGTATTTGATATTAGATCCTAAAACCTGGGATTTGGCACCATTGCTACAGATTACTGATAAAACTGCCATGATGTTTGCAGGTGACTACAGTTTTTCCTTCTGATTCTGTTGTGTTGTGCATGTGCTTTATCTTTTCGTGAAATTAGAACCCTGTCAATTTTTTTGCTCATTTTTATTATTGTGCTATGCAACACCCCATGTTAATCTAGCCTTTTGTATGGTTGCACTTGTATTCCTATCTTATTTTAGCCTCTCTCTCTTTTTTGTTTGTATTTTTTTTCATGGCCATATGCCACAATGTCATTGCAGGGCTAATACAAACGAGCTTTGGAACATCAACTACATTATGGAAACTATGAGAATTCGTTTGCGAAGTTGCCAAATTACGAATTGGATGGAAATGATTAATGACAAACATGGGCAGTTGAAAACTACAAAGGCCCCTGGATGCGTATGCCATCTTTTTTTTCAGAAGGCAACAATGAACTAAAGTTCAAATTGAGGACAACATCCTACTAATAACATGAGTAGACCATTCCACGATGTGCTATGCTCCCTTTATTCTCTTTGAAGTCCAAAAGGGCATCTCTCAAGGCACTAGAAATGAATTTAAAAGAGTAATTTGACAAAAGGGTTCACACCACACCATAAGTGAGAATTATCTAAAAGTTATGTACTAAAAAATTAGCTTTAGAGTAATCCTAAGATCTATCTTTTTCTTTAAATGTTCTAACATATTTAATGCTTGGTTGGTGGTATAAAGTCATTCTTTGGAGTTTGGATCTCTGTTATCAGAATCTTATGATTCGTAATTTTTCCAAAATTAATACGAATCTATTTTAGAAGTGAATCTTTAGTGAATCGCACGATTCACAATCGATTCACGATTCAATTCACTTTTTACAATTCATGTAATTTTTGAAATTATTGTGTCCGGTATATTTTTGGATTTTTTTTCATCATCTTTTTAGTAAAAATGACATAACACAACTTTTAATAGCATTTAATACCAAAATAATCAACATATATACATGATTTGTTATTATTTTGATGATCATGGAGTTTTTAATAGAATCCAATCAGATTCAGGGATTGTTTGGGATGATCTAAATAAGTGTACTTTTTGACTTTTTATGGGTTTGAAATGATGTGATAGAGAGGTGA